GAGTTGTGTTTTCTAGGTACTAAGGCCATCTCTAGCTATGGCAATAGGCCATATGTAGCCATCAAAACATGCAAAATCCATCTCCAGTTATGGGATAAAAAACAATTTGGCTAAATTTTGAGGGCCAAATTTAGTCATTTAGCCCTCCAACCAGGGCACATGTAGCCCATGTTAAATATTTGTGTGGGCCAAATGAATGTGCTGCCCAAGAAGAGAAAGTATCATGCGTGGGCGTGAGTGTGAGTAGGGGAACATCTAGTGTAACTGTGATCCAAAAGTTGATATTAAAAGCGCGCTGACATCAACTCACTGCTATTTTTTTCTTTTAACCTTTTAAGTGTATTTAAATTCGTTTTTTAATATATAAAAAATTTGAAACGTAAACTTTTTTTTTTTTCTCTTTTTACGTTTTAAATGTATATAAATTTAAAAAAAAAAATAAACAATTGGTTCTAACCGTTGGGAGGTCATAACCTTTTGAAATGCAACATTTTTTTTTTCAAAATTGCCCATTGTTTAAAATTAATTAAACTACTATTTAGCCCATGACAATACATACATAGTAGCTTAATTAATCTAAACAATATATAGTAGTAGAATGTATGAGTGTTGTACCATAGTTTTTCTCAAAATAATAAAATATGGAGTCCTAAAATGTAACCCTGCATGACTGGAGCATGGGCGGAACTAGGCTAATGGCTACAGTGGGCTGTAGCCTAGGGAGGTTTTTGGGGATTAAAAAAAAAATAAAACCAATACATTTGACTTATTTTAAATATAGCTAAGTATGTATTAACCTATTAAAGTCTTAAAAAAAGTCCAATTCTTTATGAATTTAGTCGCGGGGCATCAATAAAAATATACATAAAAATATGTACACTTTCAATTATGTTGTTGAACGTATTTTCATTTTGATAATATGTGTTTTTTGGTTGCATTTAATTAATTTTATTTGTTTTATGCTAAAACTTATGGGAAATTAGCATTTAGCCTTGCACTCGAGGAACTAGTGTGGTTTATATGATTTAATGTATACTTTTATCTCTAGAAGCACAACAGAAATTGTAAGTACAAAAGAAAATGATTATTAGATTTTTAAGCTAATAAATTTAGCTAGCCCACCCGTTAATAAATTCCAAAATTAATTAAACTACTATTTAGCCCATGACAATACATACATAGTAGCTTAATTAATCTAAACAATATATAGTAGTAGAATGTATGAGTGTTGTACCATAGTTTTTCTCAAAATAATAAAATATGGAGTCCTAAAATGTAACCCTGCATGACTGGAGATGGAAAAATTTAGCCCTACACTATTCTTTAAAAAATTAATATTTTGAAAGGCTAAAATTATAGCCCATGACTACGCCCTAAGATTGGAGATGGCTTTAGAATTGTGGACTGCCTTGGTGTTAGGGAGGCTTGTCCTCCTGCCTTGGCAATAGAGCAATTCCACTGCACCCCAGCCCAAGCAAGGTGTGGGTTACATCAAGCCCTAGCAGGCTCGAAAGCAAGAACAACCCGAGCTGTTGTTTGAGGGATGTGATGTCAGTGATGATATCAAAAACGAAAAATTTATAAATAAAAAAAATCTGAAAAAATACCAAAAATTTTAGAATTTTTTATAAATTTATAAATACCTAGCCTTATTCTTCACTTCCCACACCAAAAACTCTATACAAATTCCTCTCCTCATGTCTCATGTGAATAGTGATTGCCCTTGGTTTGCCATGGGTGGAAACCAACAAAAAAATTGCTAGGACAAATACTATTTATGTGAATAGTAACAATCCTTGCCTCACATTACCTTTTGCCATGGCAAATGGGTGAAAATGCTCTTAAGGACTCTTGTTTTCCTTGTTTGTATCTGTACTCAGTATTCTATAAAGACTTATTTACTGTAATACCCCTTGAAACTTTGATCAAATCTCACTTTACTCCCCAAAGATAAAGTAGCCCACTTTCATCCCTTGACCGAAGTTTAGTGACCCACTTTGCCCCATGCTATCAACTCCATCTATAACTCTGTTAAATTTGATGATGTTGCATAGGTGTTTTTGTAATTTCATATACATGAATCATTACACCAATTGAGTGGGTGACATGACAAGTTGAGCCCACCTCCATAGATAAATATATAATTAAATAATGATTAAAAATAAAATAAATAAAATATTCTAATAATTAAAAAGCCTACGCAGCACCCAATCACTCCCCCAGCCGCCAAAATCCTCGCCACCCACCCATCCCCTACCTCCATCATCATTTGATCTCTAATTTCTCTGCCAAGGAGAAGCAGAGCAAAAGCAAAACAAAATTACAGTGGAGATCATTTCCCAACCCACCCAACCCCATCTCATCTTTCCCGACCCCTATCTTTTCCTCTCTCTTCGTGTGTCTTTCTTTCTTTCTGCAAAACCCCCATCTCAGGTCGATATTTTAACATAAATTTAAAATCTACCCACTGCGTATCTCCCATTCCCACCCCCCACCACCAACGATACCGACTACACCACCCAACAACCCCATGGCCGCTAGCGGACTCCTCTGAATTTGTTCCGGCAAATTGGGTTTGCGTGCGGCGTTGTCTTTTGTGTGCGAAACGGGGAGAGAGAGCGACGACCACTAATCTAGATCTGAATATGGGTTCTTTGTACGCAGAGAGAGAGAGAGAGAGAGAGAGAGATGGGTTGGGGGTGGGATTAAGAAGGGTGAGATGGGGGAGGGGCAATTCGGATGGGGTCGGGAGGATGATATGTGCTGGGTTTGTTTGTTTTTTCTGTTTTTTGGTTACTTTTTCTAATTTGTTTTGTTATTTTATTATTTTATATATTTGGATTTTAAAATTTTAATTAATTTAAACAATGAAGAATTTTCAAATGCATGCGGTATCCACCTCACCCACTCAATTAGTTTAATGATCTATATGTATGAAATTACAAAAATACCCCTATCACATCATCTTATTTAACTAAGTTTTGGATGGAGTTGACTGAGGCAAAATGAGTTACTAAACTTTGGTCAATGGATGAAAGTGGGGCCACGTTAACTTTGGAGGGTAAAGTGAGATTTGATCGAAGTTTCAGCGGGCACTACAGTAAATAAGCCTTCTATAAATATAATGAAATCCCACAACTTATCAACTAACCGTGAGGGTGGCTTTGCTCATAATCTTTCATTGTGGACGGTAATCTTGATGTTCTTCACCTTAACCTCGGGGAGGTTAGTGTAATTTGCCCCAGAATATTATTGCTGTATAAAGGAAGGGGTTTTCACAGACACGGCATAACTCTAAATTTTTTAGCACAATAGTTCTACTTGAAGATCCACTAATCATTAATTTCCAGGCAACCTCTGTTATGATTATTCTGTTTCTTACAACATTACTCTCTGTTTAGCACTCGAATTTATAATTTTCAATCTGACAGAGATCTCAAGGGTTATAGTCTACCTGGCATGCTTCCACCTCAACTGGTCAAACTTCCTTACCTTAAAGAAATGTAAGATAATTTTGTATTCAAGAATGATGAATGATGATTTTGTTCTATACAATTTATTTCTACTGAAATGCACTTTACATTTTTTTTCCTTCCTCTTTGTGTAGTGATTTGGCTCTCAATTATCTTAATGGTACAATACCAGGAGAATGGGGTGCAATGCAATTAACAAAAATGTGAACTCTTCTCAGCTCTTGTGTTATATTGTTGATTTCATAGTTCGTGTTGTAAATGAATTAGAAAATCTATGCAGTTCTCTTCTTGTAAATCGCTTATCAGGGGAGATTCCTAAGGAGTTGGGAAATATTACTACTCTCACATACCTGTAAGTGTAAAAATTATGGTTTGTCTTGCCTATTTATCAGTTGGGTCATGGAATTATGGTATGATTGAGGAAATATGTGAAACAAGATTGGCAGGGTCTTATCCCTTCTCCTTGGATCGCCTTCTGCTACTACTTAACAAGCTTGAAAACTTTTTTATATTTGCATCCATTGTGGGGAATCAGTTTTTTCGCTCCTCCACTGTGATTCTGTCATTCTCTCTTTCAAATCTCAATATTATTTCCTTTTTCTTTTTCAAACAATCAGGACTCTTGAAGCAAATCAGTTCTCTGGAGTTGTTCCTCATGAGCTTGGGAATTTAATCAACTTGGGAACTCTGTAATGCAATTTTCTTTTGGGAATTTTTTATTTTTGATTTTTCTCTACACTGTAAACGCATTTGGGAATGATGCATTCTAGGTAAAAATTGATGGCTCATTGCTTTGGTATTTGAATTGCAGGGTGTTGTCCTCCAATCGTTTGACCGGAAAGTTACCAGTGGCATTGGCTGGGCTAAGAAATTTAACAGACTTGTAAGTTTTTACTGTACTTGTTTTTATTTTATTTTATTGTAATACATAAAACAAGTTTACATGTCAAATTGATTCCATACTCTTGTCTAATGCAGTAGAATAAACGATAATAACTTCAATGGAACGATACCTGATTTCATACAGAATTGGGAAAAACTTGAGAGATTGTAAGATATTTTTTTCTTTTGACGCCTACATTTCAAGTTATTATAGATGACCCAAATTATTTCATTCTTATTTATTTATAATTTTTTTTTTCTTATATATTTGGATGATTGAAGAGAAATGCATGCAAGTGGGCTTCAGGGACCCATCCCCTCCAACATATCTCTTTTGAGAAATTTACAAGAGTTGTGAGTAAAAGGCCTTTTCAAGTTTTCTTTGTAGCTGTATTTATTTATTAGATTACTTGTCCTTTTGTTTTTGGCTTTTCATTTTGTGGTTCCATATCTATATATAGGAGGATTAGCGATATAAAGGGGCCACAGCAGGGTTTTCCTACGTTGACAAACATGGCAGGCCTAGTGATATTGTACGTTGAGTTTTTTATCATCAAATTTTCTGAAGGCAATTATTATTTATATTTTACTTTTGATGGTGGTTTAATGCTATTCAGTTATGTATTTTAGGGTTCTCAGAAACTGCAACATTTCTGGAGAGATTCCTCCATACATCTGGACGATACAAAACCTGAAAATGTTGTAAGTAAACCTTGTGAAGTAGGATACTGATTGTATTGTTGTATTATGACCGTGAATGCAGGTTGATTATATCTTTTGTATTGTGATTGTGATAGGGATGTCAGTTTTAACAAGTTAGTAGGGGAAGTTCCAGACACTATGAACTTAGAGCGTTTGAGATTCCTGTAAGTATAACCTTGTGATTCATTTAATTATGGCGTATTCAGATTTGAAGTCCATTGCTTGTGATTCTTCTTCCCTAAAAGTTTCTGGGAAATGCTGGATATATTACTGGATAAAGAAGGAACTAAATTTCTGTGACACAAACATGGGCACGTGAATGCCTACAGAATTTACGATTTTTTAATTATATTGGGATAGAAATGCAAACTTATATCTTTAGGTTGGTGTGTGCTTAATTTTCCTTTTTTTTTTCTTTTTTTTCTTTTGAATAATCTAGTATTGAATATTGATGTTGTAGCATTCTGAAAAATCTGATATTTCTTTCTATAGGATTTTAACTGGAAACTCTCTGAGTGGAAGTGTACCTGGCTCAATCTTCGAGGATGGAAGTAATGTGTATGTGTAATTCTTATCTTCCATGCTTTCCATGTGTATCCAAGATCTGTCTCATGTATATATTATTACTAAAAGTGGAATTCTGGAAGCTAACAATTTGAGGATCAATACTATTTATTTCCTGCATGCAGTGATCTTTCATACAATAACTTTACATGGCAAGGCCCTGGGCAACGTACTTGTCAGGGCAACAAGTGAGAATATTGTTCTAGTAGTTATTCATGTTTTATGCCGGTTTGTCAGGGATACAAACTAATGGTTGTTTCACCTTTTTCCTTTTTTAATAGCAATCTAAACCTGAACTTGTTTCGAAGCTCTTCATCCGAGAACAACTTGTAAGATTTTCTTTCTCTGTCTTGCTTTCTTTTTGTTGCATTACAGTGAGAAAAGATGTTCATATATACACATGGCGTACATTCCATGTTAATATATGCTTTTCACTCAATTATGACAGAAGGAGAAAAGATGGTCTTCCATGCTTGAAGGATCTCAACTGCCCACGCTGTAAGGATATATTCTAATTGGCTTAAATAATATGCAATGCTATACAGTTTATTTAAGTTTCAGTACATGTATTGGAATTTCTACTTCTACTTCTACTTGAAATGGTGTATTTTTTTTATTTTATAGAAGATACATGTTTCAGTTAGTTTGATCATGAAGCAATATCAGCTTGTTGCTGAAGAAAATTGTAAATGATAAAGATTGCTACACCCAAGAAAGTAAATTCTTCTGATTTTAAAGTCTTTGTTTCAGACAAAAAAAAAAAAAAATCTGAGTTAATTTGAAACTCGCTTTGCCTGAAAATGTTCAGAGAGACTACCACGATATTCGAAAGTTTTATATCTGAATACTCTTGTCAATTAGTAAAATGTTGCTTTCTCATTACTGTATTATCCAATGTGCTTTCATATTCTCTCACTTACATTTTTATTTTAACCCATTATTCCAGATTCAACTTGTTTACATGTTAATTGTGGTGGAAATGAAGTCATCATCAAAGAAAATAAAGGAAACATTGTGTATGAAGGAGACGGAGGAGTTGAAGGTGGCCCTGCAGAGTATTTCTTAAATGGTGATTATTTTTGGGGATTTAGTAGCACTGGAGACTTCATGAATGACAACAATTTCCAAAATACACGCTACTCTGTATCTCTGGCATCTCCATCTTCTAATCTCTCTGAAAAATACAAGACCGCACGCATATCCCCAATTTCAATCACATATTTCCATTATTGCTTAGAAAATGGTGACTATACTATAAGTCTTCACTTTGCGGAGATACAGTTTACAAATGACCAAACATATACAAGTCTTGGCAGGCGTGTATTTGATATCTACGTTCAGGTAATTAGTCACATTGTTGAAAATGTTATCTTATGAAGTTGGAAAGTGGTTTGATATGAAGGGCTTTATGTCAGGAAAAAGAATTGCGAAAGGATTTCAATATTGAAGATGAGGCAAAGATGGCTCAAAAGCCTGTAGTAATACAAGAACATAATGTCAGTGTGACAAATAATATCTTAGAGATCCGATTCTATTTTGCTGGTAAAGGGACAACAAGGATTCCTGACAGAGGAGTTTATGGTCCCCTTATCTCTGCTATTTCCGTGACATCTGGTGAGTTATTTGGACGAATTCTTTACCATACTGTAAAGCACTCATCATGATAAGGTATGCTTGAGACAAAGGTTGGATCGCAAATTTTGCAGACATGAGGCACATATTTCGGAAAACTAAGGACCCCCTTCCTCTGTCTTCAACATCTGTCTCTCAGCCCAGGCCATACTTGGTTGGGCTTGGACAGAGTTGTGAGACCTAACCTTAGCCTTAGACACAACATGAGAACCTAGTTCAGGAAGGCAGGCTAGTTTAGGATCTGGTGGCATGATGATACCTATGTATTATGCATCTGCTGCTTTTTCTTTTCCCTTTAAAGTTAATTAGAATTTTTTTTTTGCTTTCTACCCGACCCTTAGTCCAATTTTAGTAGTAGTTTGTGCTAAAGTTTTAATTCTGTAACTTATCTGCAGCAAGAGCATAGCTATTTTATGTGCGTTCCTATGAATGGAATGGCTTTAACGTATGTAAAAAATGACTTTGCTTTTAATCCTGATATGAAGGGTTTCTAATAAAGGCTCAAATGCACACTTCTCAACCTCTTTTACAATTTTGTTTATCCAATTTGAAATCTACGTGTTATCCAAGTCTCTTGTCCTTTTTTCCTTATATGTTATTCAACTTAGCTAATTGACTTGTTCTTTTGAGCAGATTCCAAAGATTGCTCAAATGGTGAAAGCAAGGGAACTACTCACATTGTTGTTGGAGCTGTAGTAGGAGCATTTGGCCTGGTGTTTGTTATATTGGGAATCCTTTGGTGGAAAGGATGCATGTCAGGCAAAAGGGGGAGAAAGAAAGGTGCTTCATCATATCAAAATGTGTCATTCTCAGATTAATTGGTTCCTACGGATAGTTTTCACAAGTATATGAAATGAAGGGTTAACATTTGCACTCTTTGATTGCTCAAGCAATGATGAATAACACTTGCATACTCTTCTGATTCCTCCTTGGACAGATAGAGAAGGACTTGATGGACAGACAGGGAATTTTACCTTAAAACAATTAAAAGCTGCCAATAATGACTTCGATTCTGCTAACAAAATCGGAGAAGGTGGTTTTGGTCCTGTGTACAAGGTACTTTAGCTATCTGTACGTTG